TTGATTTTTCCCTTCCTTAGTCTTGACAAAGAATTTAGGTCATGTGTACAGAATGTTTTGGGCTGACCTTATGAGCGTTAAAACTGCAAACATTTTTAATGTTATATCCTTCAGTTTGTATACTTTTCTTCATTAGGAAAATAGTCTCCTTTTTAAAGATTAAAAATAGTCCCTTCTTTTTCCTAATTCAAGACATCTTTTGCTGGCATTGAAGGAAGGAGAGGATATGCTCTTTTTGCTGTAATGGAAAGGTGGATTGAGACCAGATAATAGCTGTCAACCCCTGGAACTCATTGTCTTATTCTGTACTACTGTGAACTGGCTTTGAAAATTTACTAGACTTTTCCACCTGTTTTGACTGTTGTTAGAGATTTTATTAAAAAATGCTGCACTACATGATTAGTACCAATCCCCAAAAATCCCATCGGTTCTCACAAAGTGTCTTTCCAGAATGGATACATTTGGATGCTGGCTTATTGTCTTGCTTCCCTGATGTCCTGCACCCAAAGAACCCCCTTTATTTATCTTGTCATGGTGCATCCATTGTTTGTATTCTTAGATCTGCTTTCTAGTTTGAGAATGATAAAATACAAGTTGCTGTTGAGCTGAGAGGAAAGGGCCTTTGTGGATATTTATAGACATTCCTAATGGCCTTTCCAAAGCCACAGGGGAAAAAAAGAACAATGCAGTTTTAGATCTTCAGCTGTGTCAGGTGATGTGGCAGGTGGGCAGTGGTGCTCTCTTCCTCAGTTCAGCAGTTGAAGATGTACAGAAACCATTTTTTTAAAGCTGTTACACAACTGATATTAGCATTTGAAGGGGAACAGGGCATGACCTTTAATCCTGTGGGTAGACAATCTGATCTGCTTCCTTGAATACCTCCATTGTAACAATACAGAATGGAATGAATTGCATCAGACTATAGGAAGAAATCTTCTGTCACCACTGCTTGCTTTTTTCAGATTTTCAGCTTAATATGTCCATACCCTGTGTAACCTCAGCAGGGCCTAAAATCAGCATTCAGTCTTCCAAATGCATGTAATGAAATTCATTAAATCCAGTTAAATTTACACCATGTCCAAATGCTTGTCAAAATTACAGCATTTTCTTTTAATATGTTGCCTTCTGAATCTTCCTGTGCTTTTGTGTATGAGCCGATTTATTTCAGGATATTGCCTTACACTGAGAAATAAGCTGACTCTCAGCTTTGAGTCTTTCCTAGGAGAAGATGTGTAACACCACAGCTAGTGACAGATCTCAATTTTTATATCTAATTTTCCATAATTTTTCAAGTATTGGGTGAGGGTGACTGTTTAATCCTATGGGAGCTAGTAAGAGAAGCTGATGTTTTGCTCTACTGAAATCTTTTAATCTCCATTATACATACTGTTTAATCTCTTGAAGTCTAAATGTGGGATAAAGAGTTAAGATGAGAAATACAAGAAAATAGAACAGTTGTCTGCCATAATGTGTAAGCAATCATGCACATCTGTGGGACCCTCATGAGGTCCATTCCAGCCCTACTTTTCTATGATGCTGGGCATGGTACTGCAGTAGCGTGTGGGTCCTACAGGGTCTTTGGTCAAAACTAGTATAATGCTTTCCAGATTTGGTTATTGCAGCTGTTGCAAAAAAAGGCTCTGGAGAAAGTGGTCACTTTGGAATAGTAACTGAAAAATAACTTTTAAATTGTATGGAGACATTGCTTAGTGCAAGAGCAGAGAAGCTATTCCACGTACATGAATTTGTTCCAAGGAAAAATACATTTTATTGTGGTAAGTTCCCTATGTAACGTATACTCAAGTTTCTCATTAGTGCACAGTACAGGCTTTGGATGTAGTCTGAGCATCCAAACTGTGGTTTCCAGACTGAAAAATTAGCTTGCAGCCCTCTGTACTGTTTCCTATTGTAGGTGCTATTCAGTCAATGTGCAGACATGGTGAGGCTTTATCCAGACATTCATCACTCTCCATTGATATGTATATTCCTTATTGCCTATTGGCAGCTCCATTCACCAAGATCACATGTTACTTTGCCAATAGTCAGCGTGGGAAGCTGTTTTGATGTAGCCAGCCCACTTGACAGCATTGCTGTGGCTAGCCCTCCTATGCCTGATGACTCAGTTAAATGCTGTAGTTGTTCTGTGGAAGAAGTTATTATGTTCTTTACTTCATATAGGCAGATAGAAATACTGGATGCTGACAGAACCTATACTTTGTAGAAATTATCATGTGAAAACCTTTTGAGGTGTACAAGTCACATATAGCTTCTACACTAAAACTAGCAATTCTGAGTGTTTGTTGTTGTTTTAAATGATCTGAGCTGCAGATCCAGTAAATTCTTTGTGCATTGTTATATGGTCACATCAAATGAGGCTTGGTTAGTCCAGTAGTAAAAACCTATCTGGAGGATTAACATGCTATTTATAAGACTGACGTGCATATGTTTTCATCTGATTTTGAGACGGTCTACAGTGGCCAGTGCATGTTGACAAAACCTGTTTCCTAATGATGGAATTTGTGCCTAAGTTGCTTCTGGGCTAGCTCAGTATAAGATTTAGAAGCATTTTGAAATGTAACAAGTTCATATGTGCTTCAGAAACTGGCAAAGAAAGAAAAAATGATAGCTTTAGTTGGTACTCATCTAAATTGTCAATTTGTGATGGTAGAGTTGGTCTCTAGTTGTTGTGCACTTAGAAGTTTTCTGAATGGTCACCAAAAATCCTAATTTAACTGTCTTAACCTATATCAAGTTTTCAGTATATAGAGAAGAATCAGTGTTTACAAGTTTTCATAGTCCTGTGAATTTTCAGACTTACAAGATACTTTATATTTGATAAAAATTCCTAATATTGATCTTAAATTCTTATTAGGAGTATGTATAACCTCTAAGCAGGACTGCATTTTTCAGAAGGGCCAAATATTTATGGCTAATCCTTGTATTTTGTCTTATACTTTTTCCTCTTAAAACTGGGTAAATGTTGCTGTGTCTAAGGATTCACTGGCCTCTAGTGGTAAAGGTATGCTATAGTTGCCACAATCGTCTGTATTTTTAACTGTGGACAAATACCAGTTTTATGCATGGGTTGTTAGCAAAAGGAAATTTAATATTAGGAATCACTTGGATCAGAACAAATAAAGTATTTTTAAACAAAAATACAAACAAAACCAAAAGATAATGCTACAAAAATAGACAACATTTCAGAATTTAGAAGCCATACATGATTCTTTGTTTTTGATTATGGTAACCAGGGCTATACATTCTTCTTCAGGAGTGTGCTTTTTTATGATTCAAACAGAATTCTTGCCCTATCCCATCCCTCTGATGGGCTTCTTACAAAACTTTTGGCAGTATATTTCAGTCCTTACCTATGCCCACTACTACTCCAGTTAGCAATAGCACTGTCAATGCACTACACATTGTATGGCATCTCCTGCTACTTCAGGCTTGGCTGCTCATTGATGGAGAGTGCTGTACATGGGGTACAGCACTCTCCATCATGTGATATTTATGGCAAAGACAGTTTTGGAGATGATGATAGGTTAGTTAAGATATAATTTGCCTAATCCTGGAGAAGTCTTCTTAGAGATGTACAGAGTTCAAGTGGCAGTTTATAAAGCAAGGTTAGAAAAAATCAATGCGCCCTGTTGACTAGACCCCTTCACCCAACTACCCCGAGTGTATGATGGGTCTGAATCCCATTTCTGACTCAGCAACTGATTAACTTCATGACTTTAGGCCAAGGACAGGCAAAATATGGCCTGTGGGCCAAATCCAGCCCACTAGCCCATTCTATCTGGCCCATGGGGCCCTTAAAAATTAATATTTATCTGCTCCTGATGGCTCCTGTAATCTTTGACAGGCAAGGGGCAATAGGACCCAGAGGAAGCCAGCAGGACTCAGCAGCCCAGAA